GTTTAGCCTTGGCCTTTGAGAATTTCTGGAAGGGCTCCCTCTGGGGTAAAGCCCTACAATTCCTAGTTTAAGCACACAGATAAAGGTGGAACAAATGGGCCGGGTTAGACGGGTCAACCCTAACCCGGCCCACATTAGAGAGGGTTCAACCCGGCCCGTGCTCCCTCTGGGGTAATAGCACACAGATAAAGGTGGAATAAATAGGCCAGGTTAGACGGGTCAACCCTAACCCGGCCCGCATTAGAGAGGGTTCAACCTGGACCGCCTTATAGGCGAGCCGGGTTGAACCCAACCCGCATGCAACCCCCGGGCAGGCCGGGTTGCTATGTGGCAAGCCACCAACCCGGCGGGTTGCTATTTTGTTTGCATTAGCCAACCCGTCGGGTTGGCCCAAAAAAAATTAAAAAATAAATTATTTTTTTCAAGTTTCCCCTATTTTTTTAATTCTTTTAATTAAACTATTATGATTGAACTCTTACAAACAAATAATTTTACACAATAATATTAAACTATACTTCTAAATCATAAATATTAAAATGTATAAAATTTCGTAATATTTGACATATTGTTATTATTATTTTTTATGGTACGTAAAATATAAAAAAAAAAATACTAAAGTCTTATTCTCAAATTTCCATGTCTTGTATAAAATATAATTCATTCTTCTGCTAAAATTTCATCAATTGAATGAATAAATCTAATTTTTCTTATACTACATTTTATTTTATTAAAATTGAATTAATATTTGAAATGTTAACAAAAACAAATTAATTTAATTGAATTATTGATATTTGAAAAGTTAACTAAAAATAATTTCATTTATTCATTTATAAATTGTTAATTATTTATTTAAAAAATTAAATAAATAAAATAAAAAATAAAAAAATAGGACTAACCCGACACGGCCCGCAGCCTAACCCAGCGGGTTAGGATTGGCGGGCCGGTTGGGCCAGCCATTTTCCAAAGAATGGTGGGCCTAACCCGGCCTGCCTTTGTTGGCGAGCGGGTTAGGACCAGCCCGTCGCGGGCCGGGTCGGGTTACTTTTCCACTACACAGATACCAGCATTGACCAGTATAAACTTTACTGAAGAAAAGACCTGCATCATTCTTAGTTTAAGGCTACAGATAACAGCATTGACCTGTATAAACGTTACTGAGGTAAAGACTTTTATATATGGGATTCCGGCAGGAAAGAAATTAGAAAAACCATAAACCTTGCCGGTTGATACCATATAAAAACCAGTGCTAATGTAAGGACCAAGCCTGTATTAATTATCTTTAATTTAAGGACCGAGACTGAGCCAATATTAGTTATCTTAATGTAAGGACCGATATAATATTAATTATATAAGGACGAAGCCAATATTAGTATCTTGACATGGTTACGAGATAGAGTGAAAACCTATTGGAAGGTCTCAATTTTATCAATGGAATTATATATGCAAGAAAAATAAATGAAAAATAGAGTATTTCTAAATAAGTTTCGCAATAAAATCTATTATGTCCATTCCACATACTTGTAATTCATGTTTAAATTTATGAGCTATAAGAATATCAGTTCTTATTCAAATTTATTCTGGTATTATAAGACAATATTAAGTCTTCTTTTGCTTGGTGCATCTGTTTAGAATTTAGTTAATTATTTGGCCGTTGAAAATGTAATGAAACAATACCAGGAAATTGGATCTAGCAATATCAGGTAGAGAGTACTAAAGAGATAAGAATTGCGATAGTGATTTCATGAGCAGCTAGGGTTTTCTAAAGCCTTGAAATGGATATACATGAAACTTTGAAGATATAATTAAATTTTAAAATCCCACATGGCCTAGAAGATACAACTCTCAGCCTGAACTTTCTTTTATAAAATGCGTCAACTGCCTGAGTATAAGTATGGAGCCGCGTGGAGAGCACAAAGCGAACTATTCTTTCGCCTTTTACTAAAGAATACCGTGTGCTCGCCACTCTAAAACGGCATACCTCTATTTTTGGAGGAGTTGTTCTCTCTTGAGTGCAGCTCCCTATCAAATCTATTTGTGAAAATTGCTTTTTATTAATATTATCATGCTTAATTTTTGAGGGTTGTCATGCTTAATTTTTGAGGGTTGTCATGCTTTATAAGTACAGCCAGACTGTGAATGTAACACAACCTTGATTTGGTTTTAGAGGCGAAGGGAACTCCAAACATACACAGTTTCCGTTTCAGATTTATTGAACGATCATTTGTTGATGGGTACTTTTTGCAATCCAAAATTTGGTTGGTTAGCAATAGCTAGAAAGTTCAGGTCCAGTTAAGCAGTGCTACCTAAACAAAATTCCTTGAAGCAGTTCTCGTGAGAGAAATCAACATACATAGTCATAAGTCAGTCTACTGATAGCAGAAAATCAGCGACTAGTACTTCAGTATGTAATTAATGAAAAAGAGCTTTCACATTATTGCTAAACCAGAAGAATAATAAATCAAAAAAAATCACGTATGAATTGGCATAAATAAAGGCATCAATGTTTGTCGTAGTTTCTCCCACATTGATTAAGCAACAGAAGAGAAAATGCAGAGTAGAGCTATAAAAGAACAATTGAGCCAAAGAACAAAGCATACCTTTCTCGGCCTTTTGGCTAAGATCAAGTGTAGTATCTGTTCTTATCAGTTTAATATCTGATACGTGGGACATTGTCCCACATGATATTAAATTTATTTTTTTAGGGGTAGGATCCCCTACAGTAGCTTGCTATTGGGTTCCTTAAGCGTCGCCCATGCGTTGCACTACTACAAGGGCCTGGCGCGCCCCAGCCAAATCAAGTTTAAATTACAATCTCTGAAAGTATTTTTATGCAAAAATCAATAATGCCAAGATTCTATTTCTTTAGTTTACATAATTTTTTCAATGTGGGTGGGTGGTAATGGCAGTTTCTGCTGGATAATTTTAGTTTATATGAAGATGGAGATGGTGATGATAGTAAATATTGCCAGCCATAACAAAAAAAAATATATATATATATTATTAAAAAAAAAAAAAAACATACATTTCGGTGATTTTCAATAAAGCTCAATGCATAGTTAGTGTTTTTTCATCCACCTTCACAGTCCGGCCCCTCAGAAGAATTGAACCTGGATTGTAGGTTGAAACTTTTTAGCTTCAACCCTCTAGATTCGCCCTTATCGTTTGGCTATCCATGGGTGAGTTGCATAGTCAGTTTTATGAAGATGAATGACTAAATATAAGTTGTTTTATGTATAAACTTATTTAAAGTGTTAAAAATATCAAAAACATCTCCATGTTATTTGATGAAACTCTGGTTTTGTAATATAAGACTAGAAAGCTCTTTTCACATTTTTGTAATCAACCAACTACCCATTTTATCATAACAGTTTTATTTTCATAATATGTAATTCTGACTGAAACTATCATGCTCTTCTAATTAAATTAATGCTCTTTTAGTTGATATTTGTGAAGTGCGTATCATGCCCTTTTAATTTCACACCTTTTTTTTTTTTTTTTTTTTTTAGAATATGATAAAATAAGAATCTACAATCTAAACAAATATTAATGTTTCGTGGTGTAGTTGGTTTCACTAAAGGTCTCCAGTTCGAGTCTGAGCAAACTAAAAATTAAATTATATTTCCATTTTCAATTTTTACATAACATCTTGAGTCAGTTTGCGTCTAAGACACCTATATTCCTTTTGCCTTTGGAGACATGTCATATTCTGGACGGTAGAATGGTTTTCTGGATTCTAATTGGTGATTGATGATGTCAGCATATGTCAGTCCTTATTTTAGACATATCACTCTGATCATGATCTGCTCAATCAATCATCCCTACTAACATTCTCATCTGATCATCATCCCAACCCGCTAACTAATGGTACCTAAAATTTGCGTTCTCTTTTTTATCAGATTTGCTTATATAACGTCAACTTTAATGCATGATCATTAGTATTTTGATTCAATAAATTGTATTGATTCTATTTACACGATAACTGATCTAAAATTGGATCCAAATTTCTTAATTTATATGGGAATTTATATTAATTGTTGCAGTATATGGAAATTTATACATCTTTGTCACAGTATTGTTGTTCTAATTGATGCTGTAGCCGGTTCACCTGATGCCTCTGGCTCCACATTGCTGAAACGTGACACAGGTGTGAAGGTTTTTCAGGGGCAAATAGATACGATGAAATTGTAAACGAAATTGAACACCAACATGAGACTAGTAAAGAAGCTTCTGCTGTAGAATACATGACCCAGCTCAAACACCATTAAATGACACACAGCCAGTCCCAAAACAAAGCAGGATTAATCAACTTAATCTTTTTGATTGCAAACAAGTGAATCCTTCATAATCGCTTCGCAAAATACTCGAAGCTTTTGTGCTCTCATGATAGCCCTTTTGGTAGTTCTATCCTACATTGATTATCCATATTTTGGAATGAATATAGTGAGCTAAGAAGGAATGTCTTATAATGTTTATGAGCATCATCTAACAGGTTCAAAAACTTTAAAACACTACGGAAAGTAAGGAGAAATACTAAACATATCAAATTATGCCTTGGTGTAGCTTTTGTTGTAATGTTGTTCAATTCTATTTATGTTGTGAGTGTTTAATTAGTGATATTATTGCTGGATTTATTGAAACCATGAAGTTAAATTAATATATATGTTGCTGTCATTGCAGCAAAATTCTGAGAAAATTAAGAAGTCCTTCAATACAGCGGCAGTAGTTGGAAAATTTAATGTGCAGGTTGTACTTGTATATCTCAACTGCTTTATTCTTCTAACCTATATTTCTTGACATGATTGACTTCTTGGAAATGCTGTAGTAACTGATCATAGCATTGGTTGAAATTTCTATTTATATGCTTTAGTAACCTATAATTTTTAAGTAGGATGTTGTCACATTTTATATTGTTGGCCTAATTTTTCCCCACCTTGTTGAAACAACTGAAGAGACAAAGCAGAATATAGGTATAAAAGAAGAATTGAGAGATGGAGAAAAGCATAACTTTCTCGGCCTTTGGGCTAAGATCAAGCGTAGTATCTGTTCTTATCAGCTTGATGTCTGATAAGTGGGACATCGTCCCACATGTTATTAAGTTTATGTTTTTTAGGGGAAGAGCTCGCCACACTAGCTTGCTACTTGAGCCTTCATGCGTCGGCCTCACGTTTCACTACAGCAAGGGCCTGGCACACCCCTTCCAAATTCCAGTTCTACTTCAATTCTGTGTTTAACAGGAGGTCATCTTTCCAGAGCAGTTGTCCACATGCATCAGAAACAAAGAGCCAACAATGTTTTATTGTGCTTGACCATAAAATAAAAGTGGAGTATCTAAACTGTTTGTTAAAAATGTCATGCTTTTACTAATTTATACACTTGATTGCAGAAGTAATATGTTTTCTTGCCGTAGATGTGTCTGGACCATCTTCACTAACATTCTCCTCTGTTTATGACTCTCCCAGCAAGAGTATTTTCATAACGTTCTCAGTCTGTTTTCGACTTCAGCAAGAGCAATTTTATAGCATTTCTCACTCTGTTTTTAACTCTCCCGGCAAGTGCATTTTATGTTAGTGAGTGAACAAAAACTCCTTGAAGCAGTTCTGGTGAGAGAAATCAACATACATAGTCATAAGTCAGTCTACTGATAGCAGAAAATCAGCGACTAGTACTTCAGTATTTAATTAATGAAAAAGAGCTTTTATATTATTGCTAAACAAATTAAAAAAATCATGCATGAATTGGCATAAATAAAGGCACCATTGTTTGGCCTAGTTTCTCCCACATTGATTAAGCAACAGAAGACACAATGCAGAGTAGAGCTATAAAATAACAATTGAGCCATAGAACAAAGCATACCTTTCTCGGCCTTTTGGCTAAGATCAAGTGTAGTATCTGTTCTTATCAGTTTAATATCTGATACGTGGGACATCGTCTCACATGATATTAAATTTATTTTTTTAGGGGGAGGATCCACTACAGTAGCTTGCTACTGGGTTCCTCAAGCGTCGCCCATGCGTTGCACTACTGCAAGGGCCTGGCGCACCCCAACCAAATCAAGTTAAATTTCGTTCTCTTTAAATATTTTTATGCAAAAATCAATTAAAAAAAACAAAAAGCATACATTTCGGTGATTTTTAATAAAGCTCAATGCATAGTCAGTGCTTTTTTTATTCACAGCCGCGGCACCTCAGTAGAATTAAATGTGGGGTTGTGGGTTGAAGCTAGACCTAGCAAATCTGGGGTACGAGTTAATGTAATTAAGACCTTTGGAATATTGCTCATATCCGGCCCGTCCGTTATTTTCACGGGTGGGCCGGGTGATCCCCGTGGGTACCCACAGGTGCCCGCACACTGTAAAAAAAATAATCAATAAGGTAAAGTGAAGACCGAAGAAGAAGAAATCAACAATTTCTTTAAATCCCAAACAACAAATCAATAATATCACATATTCTCCTCTCCTAAACAACAAATATTTTCCAACAAAGAAAAACCAATCAACATCCATACCAACAAAAATAAACCCACAAATCAACAAGAGAAGGCATGATCAAGCGGTGAAGTGATTGCCATTCGCCGACAGCCTTCCACGGCGCCAACACATGCTCACCCTAACCGGTGGCCACAATGGAGATTATAGATCTATAGAGGGAGAAAAAGATGAAGAAGAATTGGAGAGAGGGAGAAGAAGAAGAAATATGAAAAAGTCGAGAGGGAGAAAAAGACAGAAGAATTGGAGAGAGGGAGAAGAAGAAGAAATATGAACGTGGAGAGAGAGAAAAAGAGAAGAAGAATTGGAGAGAGAGAGAGAGAGAGAAGAAGACGACAATGAAAGAGAAAAATGTGGAGATGAAAAATAAAAAAGAAGAAACCGTTTAGGAAAAATTTTAAAAAATAAAAGAAACAGGTGACCTGCATGACCGGATACAGGATGTATTTCCTTACCCGTTTGACCCGTATCCGTTATTACCCGGCCTGTACTATCCAGCCCGCCCGTTTGCCAGGTTTGGTTGAAACTATTTGTAACCTCCTCAATTTGCCCGCTAGGCTACCCATGGGTGGGTTGCATAGCCAATTTTATGAAGATAAATGACTAAATAATATGTTGTTTTATGTCTATAAGCTTATTTAAAGCGTTAAAAATATCGAAAACAAATATCTAGACCTACAAAAAACTTGCTATTAATATATATATTCTAAGCCCACATCATATTAAAAGTTTAAAACTCTCTTCACTCTTCTTCTCCCCAGCTTCACTTGCTTTTTATGATTTTATCCCTCAAATTATTTACTCTCTCATTCTCTCTTCCCCTTTCTCATGTTATTCACTCATAAAGCTTTTCAAGACTAAAATTGTTGAAGCTTTTACTACTTAAGGTGTCACAATTAGTTCCGTTTTCTGTTTTATCAGTTTTTAGATGTGTATTGCTTGTTTCAATTTAGTTTATTTTAAGGTTGAATCATGTTTGATTTTTAAAGGTTTTTTATTCTAATTTGAGGGAAAAAGACATAGATCTTGTGAGTTTATTTTGTGTTTTATGTCTAAGAATATTTATGTTTTCCCAAATTAAAACCTTAACTATATTTTAAAGGACGTTATTCTTCACCCACCACTTTCCTATATTTCAAACATCACCGTTCAGCTGCTCAAAATTATTAAAGAAATTTGAGTCACTATCTATGTTTATACCAAGAAAATTCCCTCTTTTTTTAATTAATTCATATTAAAAGTCAATGCAGCATTAATTTAATTTAAGTTTTGGTTGACTTTAGCTTAGGTTAAATCTGATCAAAGACATAAAAATTTATATTATAATCTTTGGAAGCTAAAAATAAAAAATAATAATTAAAAGAACGCTTTGCTCAAGTTTTACTCAACACATTTACTCAAAATTTTGCTTCTCATAGACTTATCAAGTAGGAAAAAATTGTGTTATTGCATTCTTTTCTTTCAGGTTCTTAAAATTGTATTATTATTTTTTGCTAAGGTTTGATGATTTTTTAAAGTTTTCACTAGTTGTTTGACAAACAATGGCAGAGTCGCGAAGGCTCTCCCTTGGCAAAAATCTTGGGTCCGCCACTTACTGTAGCTTTAGTTGTAATGTTGTTCAATTCTATTTATGCGGTGACTGTTTAATTAGTGATATTGTTGGATTTATTGAAACCATGAAGTTAAATTAATATACATGTTGTCATTGCAGCAAAATTCTGAGAAAATTAAGAAGTCCTTCCATACAGCCGCAGTAGTTGGAAAATTTTATGTGCAGGTTGTAAAACCCCATTCCTGATTTAGTTAGATCATGAATTGTATTTAGTTAATTAATTCTTTTTTTATTATTATTTGATCTTTGGTATTGTGGTAAGATAGGGGTATTTCTGTCAGTTTTTAAAGTTGCATTAAGGGGTGAAAACGAAGAAATAAATCCTGATGCTAGGAAAAGCTTATGTGGTGGGGTTAGTGAAATTTAGAAATTTTGGGGGCACAATAATTTCAGAAAATTGTATTAGTAGAAAGAAGAAAAAAACTGGGTAGTTCGCCCAAATGAAGAAGAAGAAAACGAGAGCAGAAGAAAGAAAGAAGAGAGGAGAGAAAAATAAATAAATAAATAAGGAGAGAGAGAGAAGAGTAGAGAAGAAAATTGTATTAGTTTTAGCTTTACTCGGACTCGAACTTTAGTTAAATAGATTGACGCCATGACCCACTACACCACGAAACATTAATATTTGCTTAGATTGTAGATTCTCATTTTATTATATTTTAGAAAAAAGAGGTTTGAAATTAAAAGGGCATGATACATACTTGGCAAATTTTAATTAGAAGAGCATGATACACCCTTCACAAATATCAACTAAAAGAGCATTGATTTAATTAGAAGAGCATGACAGTTTCTGCCAGGATTATATATTATGATAAACAGTAATGCTACGGACACCAAATTTGTGCATCAAAATTTTTTACCGAATGACATGGCATTCATTAAGACGTGGCCATGTTAGATAGAAAATACTAATTCTATGAATGGATGGTCGTCCATCTTACACGGATGGCTATCCATACGTTATCGACAACTGTTTATTACAAATGGACGATTGTCCATGACAATATCAATGGACTTCCGTCTATATAATATGGATGGGTGCTCATTTTGCCCGTCTAGAAAAGCTTAAAAACAAATAATGGACGGACGTCCATATACAATGGACGATCGTCCGTGTAACATGGGCAGCCGTCCACACCCAAATTCTAGTTTAATAAAAAATTCTTTTAAAATTTTCAATTAGAATGTTTAAAAATTTAGGCCCCCCAAAATAGGTTTTAAAAAACAAGTTTCATTTCTCGTTGCTTTGCATTTTTTTTATAAATGAAAAAAAAAAGTTGTTAATCTAAAAAAAAAAAAAATTATTTGAGGATGGATGCCAGTCTATTTCATTTGGATGACTGTCCATTGTATGTGGACGACCATCCTCATTAGATGGACTGCTGTCTATACTTTGTACTTAAAATCAAAGTTTTTTTTCCTTTATTTCATCTAAAAATTTTGACGCGCATTTGTAGAAGCGTCTTATACAAGGTATATGTTTTTATAAATGAAAAAGAAATTGTAAATTAAAAAAAAAATTTATGTGAGATGTATTGGCATCCATACTTTGTGCTTTAAAATTATATGGACTCCCGTCCATAATATATAAACAGGAGTCCATTGATATTTTCTAGACTCTCATCCATTCGTGATGAATGGTCGTCTATAAGATATAGATGAGCGTCTATAATTGTTGGACGACCGTTCATTCACTGAGTATATGTATTATGTCCTATGTGACACGTCCGAGTCCGATACTACATAGATTGATACAAAATTTTGGTATCAGCATTCGGTGTCCGTAGCATTTTTGTATGACATGATAAAATGGGTGGTTGGTTGATCACGAAAATGTAAAAAGAGTTTTTGAGTCTTATATTACTAAAATAAAGTTTCATCAAATAATATAGAGATGTTTTTGATATTTTTAAATATTTAAATAAGCTTATAAACATAAAACCACCTATTATTTAGTCATTTATCTTCATAAAATTGACTAGGCAACCCATCCATGGGTAGCTTAGCGGGTGAGTCAAGGGGGATAGTTTCAACCAGACCTACGAAACGGATGAGTTGGACAGTACGGGTTGGGTAACAACGGATACAGGTTAAACGGGTAAGA